ACACCACACCGGTACCACAGACCACAGAGGTGCTTCGTGGGAAGCCTCTAGCCACACTATCAGGACCATGTTAATAGGGTGATAGAGGAGAGGTGCACGTAGGACGAGTTTCAAGCCCAGATTATTAGAGATTAAAACTTGTTGTATCCAAGTCCAGTTTTAGAGCGAATTTTTTAGAGATTGCAAATTCGTCCTAAGAATAGGACGATTTTTAGGACGAGCAGTTAGGACGAGAAAATAGGACGAGTATGACTAGAGAATGCCCTTACGGTCACTTTTGTACTGTAGAAGAATGACTCAATCGTGTGACATTACGGTTCTTACAGTCTAATGTCCGCACAAGGGTTGAAATCTTGAGTCATGACTTGAGTTTTTGAGATTTGACTTGAGTCAAAACTCAAGAGAACCCACTCCTGTCCACACAGCAACACGACTCCTTGACAAAACGAGGCACGTGGCCAGCCGTCGATTTCGTGCATTTTTGAATGAATTTCAAACTTCAGAAAACGAAAAATAGATATTGCCTTGATTTGACCATGTAACACGGCAAAAAGGGCTTGACTCAAGTCGAGGGGCTTGGAGCGAAATCTTGAGTCATGACTTGAGGCTGACTTGAGTTTTGACTCAAGTCAAATCTCAAAACTCAAGTCATGACTCAAGATTTTAGCCTTGTGCGGACATACGAGTACCGGTAGTATACCTTACTATTGTCAGTACGGCTGCTTTTTAATGACGAAGCCATGCAGGATGCAGCTTACTGCATGCATGTGATAAATAAATACTAAATAGATACTGACACACTGGTACATCTTCGTTCCGCTTCCGTCGGATGTTGGTTAGCACAAAGAAGCATGTCCAAGTATGCATAGCAGTTAAACAAATTGAGAAGCATGTTCGAGTACATGTAGTTAATACGAGACGAATTCACGAGGGATAGGTAAGACGTGTGTCCCTTGATCATGATTGACCAAGGAGAGGGAGTACCGGTACTGTATTACCAATATACAACCGTAGTCACATGATAGAGGGTATCAGTCTTAGGGGAGTTGTATGCGCTGGTGGGACTTACCTAGTAGTCTTAGTAGTTATTTCACCCCCACTTAGGCCTAAGTATTGGTAATCGTATATTGGGGATTGGTGATACCATTGATTCGGTGAGAGTATTCTGCCGGGGAAAACCAGTCATTTGAGGGTATCCAATACTACTCAGAATCGCATTGGTAGTTGCATCGGCAACCCCAAAATACAACTTTTCCCCTAAGTATCATTGTCACTCGTGCCAAAAATACAACCTAGTCACACACAAGGTTCCGCGAAACTCAAAGACTTATGGTCCCGGAACCTCCCTCTTAGTACTGAGAGACGGTAAACGGCGCAAGATCCTCTCAGCTCAACTGTTGTATCCCGTGCTACCGTTGGGGTGAGTGCCTCCGATCGATCATTCTTCACCCAATTTCCTCTCATAAATTTGGATATCGAAAAGGCGAAAGCTATGCATCTACTCGCTGTTTTGTTACTCGCTGTTTTGTTACTCGCTCTTTTGTTTTCAACCTCCACAATGGCGAGGAAGCGCAAGTCACTCGATCAGCAGTACCGGCCGGCCGTTGCCAGGTTTATGGGTTGGAAGCATGGTCGTCACTATAATAACAGGAAGAACTTTACCAGTACGTCTTCGCCAATCTGTCATTTCGCTGATCGATCCGTCACTGGTTTCGCTAATCATTAACTCACACCATGTCGCTCTTCTTCATTTTTCTTCAGGGGAGTTCTAGAAATTACCCCACTGATGTCGCCAGTTCCTCAACTTCCTTGCTATGGAAAGATCAACCCAGGCCAATGACCGCCCCACCCACAAGAGATCTACCATCTTGAACAATACAAGAAGGCAATCAGCCACTTCCATCCGAACCGCCACGCATCATGGGTGTTGGTCCCAATGTTGGGAATCCACTCGTCCAGGGTGTAAATGAAGTGATCAAGGCTGTGAAGAAGGCTGAGTCAGGAAGCAGGGAGGAAATCCAAGTCAAGAGGGATTGAAGATCCGGGAATTCCGCAAGACCATTCGCATTGTGGAACGCGATGGAGGAGCGAACATTGACACGACTATCAAGATCCCAACCATGTTGAAGTTCAGTTTCACTTGATTGCCGCACTGATGATTTGACCAACATGGAGACTTTGGATTTGCGCAGCCACTCCAAGTTTCAAAACTTCGCTCTTGAAACCAAGGTATCCTGGAGCAGAATGTCCAGGAGGAGCGTGCTTGCCCAACAATTGCTGGGTGCCGCTGACCCTGACTTTTGCGTCCTGATTGCCTTGGCTATTTGGATCGAGACTCGTCTTGAGAGGGGACACGGTGATCCCAAGTTTCTGTTGGCCATTACCGTGTCGACGATGAAGAAGCGTTCCTTGCCGCCATCGAAGCTCTGGACAACGACGAAGAGCTCGATGAGACGACGATTGAGACGGAGCCTGACCGAGTCAACGCCTGTACCAACGGGCTTTGAAGAAGGCTTGGAAGGACCCTGAGTTGTGGAGCTTGCGCTCAAGTCCGGGAGCCTCGGTACCCACAGTGTGCGCAAGCTGCCTCCAACCTACGCGCTGAGTGTGGCATCTACAAGCCGAGAATGAGCTCGTGGTCGCTGGAAGGGAGAGAAAAATGGACACATCGTCCATGTTTACATCAACTTGGAGCAGCTTCCCACCGACGCCAAGGTTGCTGAACGCTCGCTGTTGGTGGTCCGTCAAGTACAGCATCAAGGCTGACAGCGGTGTTGACCATGGGTTCATCGTGAGCATGTTTGTCCGAAGATCTGCGACTTCTTCGCTGACGACCCAAGCAACAAATCGCCATGGTGCTTGGTCCAGCCTTGCTTTGGCTGCGATGGAACCTGGCTTGGAGCATATGATACGGCTGAGATTCGCAACGCATCCAGACGAGTATGCCAAGCTTCGAACCACTTTGGATGAGGATCCTGGGGCCGACTACAACCAGTCGCCAAGATCCCTCTGACAATCTCAAGGTAGCCAATGCATTCACATTACTGAGTTGGCTCCCACGCCCAGGTCCAAGCTGGTGCTGAGCCCTTGGTCGGAGGTGCTCCTGGTGGTGTCAACATGTAACAGCTCAACCAATTGCTTGCTCTCCAACAGGACTCGCAGGCGATCGAGGAGGCCCAGCAGATTCTTGCACAGGACATCAGTCCTTGAGGGGCTATGTCTCTAGAACATTGCCATCGTGAACAAGAATATTGGGAGGATCAACCACTTCCAGTTGATCGGAGGGTGGTGGCAACGGTGCTCCAAGGCTTCCTCTTCCTGGTCGGCCGGTGGAGCTGGCGGGCGGTGGTGCTGCGGGAGTGGCGGGTGGTGGAGCTGGCGGTGGTTGTCTGCTGCAGCTGCGCAGGTGGCGCAGACTTCCCCCACCACCACCGAGAGTCCTGGGGTTTGGCGTCAAACTCCTGCCGCAAGGGCCCCTACACGCTACCCTGCCAGCCAGCTTCGAAGAAGCTTTCAACCTTACGAGCTGTGGGACGAGTGGATCAAGAGCCTGAACGGGAACAAGGCGGCATGCGAGTTCACTGCTCGTGAGCGCGGCCGCGTCAAGGACAAGTTCTGCCGCCGCAAGCATTGTGGGACTGTGTGATCGGTTGATGGCGAAGGGCTTCGATTGGAGGGCGCGGCGACCGATCTATGCCACTACGGGTGGCTTACGGTCACACCAGATCATCAACAAGTTCAAGCAGACAAGAAGAATCAGCCCACCGGTCCACCCATCGCTTGCGTTGACTGCCTTGGTGGTACCCAGCCTACAGCGCGATCCTGCTGTAGGCATAGCAAAAACAAATTTTATGTGTTAAGAAATTTTAGTGTTAAGAAATTATCAGTTTCTTGTTGTGTTTTGTTATCTTGTTTGTGATCTGAGCGATTTTGTCTTTGCCGTTCGTGGACTTAGCATTTTCGAGGACTTTGCGATTTTCATGTGCTTTTCCACTCTGCCGATCACTTTGCGATCTTTTGCTTGGATTGACTTTCTTCCTCTTGTGTGCGTCAGTGTGTTTGCGAAAGCCTTCGTTCATACCAGTATCGATGTTCCAGTGAGCCAGTCGGTCGTTCGATGTTCCAGTCAGCGAGAAAGGTAGAAACACCCAAAACAAAGGGAAAGACAGGACCGTCCGACGGTTTTCACTCAGGATTTAAAGGCTTCCACGATTGAGTAAAAACTTGATCGCCACAATTAAGGGATTGTTTCTTAAGGGATTGTTTAAGGGATAGTCAAAGCTTTAAGGGAGTGTGGTTAAGGGATTGTTTATTTAAGGGATTGTTTAGGGGATAGTTGAATAAATAAGGGATAGTTGTATGGTGTTTCCATTTGGCGTTAAGGGATTGTTTAAGGGATAGTTTAAGATTTAAGGGATTGTTTTAAGGGATTGTTTCTTTAAGGGATTGTTTAAGGGATAGTTGATGAGTTAAGGGATTGTTTAAGGGATTGTTTTAAAGGTTCATCAGTCGTGGAAATTTCAATTTGTTTTAAATCCTGTGTGAAAACCGTCGGACGGTCCAGGGTAACACGTAGAGCCTGGTACTCCATGTACACGGTTGTATTCCTGGTTTGTTAGAGGGGTTATACCTTTACTGTAATGTACTGTACCTGGCTAGCTATTAAAATAGCTACTAAGTACTCTAGACCGGTACTGTACTGGTATTGAGAAATAGTGAACTGCCCGTGAAGGAAGACTAATGTCGCACAATAGTTGAGGTAAATATAAGGTTAACGCTATATTTCGGTTTCAAGACTTCATTAAAAGTGAAACAATTATTTTACCGCAACTACTAGCTAGTACCTTCAATATATGCTGTCCCTTGATCAGGTTCTTCGCAGCGGCGGTAAATGTTCTTGCGGTTGAGCACCAACCGTCACCGGTGTGAAGTTACGTTGCGAAACCAGTGATCGAGCTCCATGCGGCTAGGCTTTATTCTTGCACCTTTTTTCACCATCGTCAACACTCACAAAATCAACACTCACAAAATCAACACTCACAAAGTCAACACAGCTCACAATAACAAAATGAAAGTACTCTACACAGGAAAGTTTGTCTCTGACAATGCCACTGGTGCAACTGCCGCTGCATTCTTCTCAGTTGTGAAGAATTGGGGTCCATCAAAGAAAGACCAACTTGACCAAGCTATTCCTAAGTTGCTCGAAGCCAATCCTATCCTGACTTCTCATCTTGAGTCTAGAAAGGGTGAATCTGGAGTCGAGGTTGTGGCTGTCTTCAATACCTATGGAGCCAAGGATCTACTTCGCTACATTGAGAGACCCAGTTCAGCAGTTCCTTCAACTCCTATTGAAGACATGAAACCAAATGAACTTCTTGCCCATGTTGAAAGCCATGCCATTCCCCACTTTCCAGCCCATGTCAGTGTTTCCACCAGGCTTGGCACTGAAGAAATCCGGGAGAGAACTCCAGTTTTTGAGGTCCATGTAATGGACTTGTCAAGCAATCATGCATGCATTGCAGTGGTGATGAGCCATGTTGTTGGAGATGGAGCAGTCTATTTCCAGGTTATGGAACAGCTGAATGCCGCCATGAAGGGTCCGATTGAAACAAAGATTAACTGGGATGGCTATGACAAGCTCCCAGAGGTTCTTTCACACATTATCCCACACCCAGTGACTCTGCTGGGATACATGCTGGGTGTCCGTGCCTTCAAACAAACGCATGGAAAGAGTGCCCCTGACTCAGAAATTCTGCTTCTTAGCAAGGACAAAGTCAACAAGAAGAAGAAGGAATTGGTAGATGCCAATACCAAGTTCCTATCTGGCAATGATGTTGTCGTTGCTGCCCTCTCAGAGGCTATGATTGACCACGCCACATTGCAGATGCAATATGCTAATCTGCGAGTCAGGGTTGACAATCTCGAATCGAATGATGCAGGGAACTTTATCCCAACTGATATTATTGATGCAAGGTTGGCATCAGGTAATCCCAATGTTGTTAGAAAGGTCTCATCCAAGGGTAAGAGTAACATTTCTCCATGGAGGACCTTCATGCCATTGGCTTCGGGCAAGTTCAACAGAAACACAAACTTGACCAAGGTTTCTGTTGGGCAGTTTGATGATTGTGTTGCTTATTTGCCATCAGCGGCACTGGCAACCAAAAAGCCTTTCTACTTCACAGCCGTCTTTGAATATGACTCTGAAACTTTGGGTGTAATGACAAATTGTCCAATGAAGCAAGCGCCATTGCTGCAGTCCATTCTTTTGGATTAGATTTGCACTTGCTTGCCATCAACCAATCATGTGGGTGTACGCCACAGCTGAAAGCAAGAGTCGACGAAATTAATTGAATTATGCACGATTACAATATATACAATGAGTTACATTTTACTAAAAGGTTTAATTTCTACAAAAGCCTGAGTCCCTCGCCTACTTTTAATACAAAAGCCAGCTCCTCCTCTGCTGCTACTACGAGCTAGCAGCTAGCCAGCTGTTTGTAGTTAGCTATGCATAGTACTCGTAGATCTACTCGGTACTTAGTAGTTGAATTCGGCTGAGTTCTTCAGCCGTTCTTCAACGTTGGATGAACTGGGTCTCACCACTCCCGCGAGCCTTGGCCCACATCCACATGCATGCACTCACCGCACAAGGAGTTGCGCGGGAGTCCAGGCAAAAAATTTGGAGATAGAAGTTGAATACCCCAGACAGTCAACTCTTCCGAGCTACCAGTAGCTAGCTGCTGGCGAGAAGCTGGTGGTACTGGTAATCACGAAAGAAATTTGGAGAGCCTCCGCATAGGGCTAGCGGGGTCAAACCGACAAATTTGTAAAGTACAACTTTGCCCTTGCAAGACTTGATGCACCCTTCTCACAAAGCTACAGTGGCTGTGCCTCACATTATACCCCAACACTTCTGCGATCACAGCCTCTTTCTGTTGACTCGTCCAAGTACCGTATCACATCAAACCTTCGTACGTGCTCATGTTGCGTTGGAGTTTTCCCAATTCGCTAAGCTCAAGTGGCAGCCTAAAGTCTGACATGGAGGATTCTCTGACTGATTGCTACGACAGCAATGACGATGCCAATTCTATTGTTGTTGAGCCAAGTGAGGTTGGAAAGAAGAGGCCTGCCCCACCGTCACCATATAAAGTGGTCAAGCGCCGCAAATTGATGAGCCGTGGTCGCGTCTCCACGACAATCCTTGGCCCGGCTGCTGCTTTTGTGGGTGGTCGAAGGAAATGGGCGAAAATGGAGAGCCGCGTTCGACAGTTGACCGAGAAGCTACAAGTACCCGCCTCTGTTCCACTTCCCGCTCACCAAACAGAACTTGTGTAGGCAACAAAAACCTCGTCCGCGACGATGACGACGACGACGATGAAACAAGCAGGCAACCACAACAAGAGACCTCAACCTATGTTCTCCCTCTTTATTCCCTCCCTCGTGCTGGTCCTGAAATAAATAGAAACAGTCATGTTACCATAGCTCATAATTTAACTACCGTATTGAAGCCGAGGCGCGTTGTACCGTAATGTATGTATCTGCTTCCGCTGTACCGGTACGCTCGTGTGATGAGTTAGAACTAAGCAAAGAAACAGGATGCCAAAGGAAGGGTATGCGGAGCTAATAGGAACGAAGAAAAGGAACTTGCTGAAGGCGATGACAAGATGACGATGATGACAAGGACCACGTATTACTAAAGTTTTGATTAGTTGCCTATCCTTGCCATGCCGTTGTGTGCGTTGTCAGAATAGTATGCTTTGTGGAAGAGGTTCAGGTGCGTGTTGAGCGATAATGGTAGTTTCCGCAATCTTTTTTAACTTGTAAAGGGGGCTATACGATAGATCCTGTCTACTCCACCATGGTGCAGTCGATCGTCGCATCGGCAAGACAACCATGAAAGGCTTGGGGCTGCGTCGAAAGCCAGGCGCAGACGTCGGGCTTGTTGTTGCCGCGAAGTTCGCGGCGGCCGCAATTCGAGTTCAAGCAGAAAATGCTACGGAAATAATGTGAAATTTTAAAATGTGAGCACAATAGTGAAAACGCAAGTGACATAAGGCAATCACAAAAACAAACAAACAAGCAAACAATCCAACAAACAGTTGCTTTCGTACCAGCACCAAGCAGCACTACAGTCTTGTCTTGGATCGGGGCATTCAAAGAATTGGAGAGCGCGATGCCCACCATGAATAATACTCTTGCCAGAGGATTCACCACCGGCGGCGACGTTAAAGGTGCCACGGTTGCTGGAAGCAGCCAACTTGGTGTCATCCACGTTGACGGCAATGTCGGTGATCTTGTAGTCGTTGTTCTTCGTGTTGTCGTCGCTACCAGCGTTGTCAATGAACTTTCCAACGGCGGCGTAGGTTGGTTCCAGAGATAGCTCCAAGTCACGCGCATCCTTGCAGGTAGCTCCATCGACAATGTCGAGGGTGAAGGTGGGACATTCGTTGGCTCCCGAGACGACGACAGGAGCAAAGAGCATGGTCAAGAAAAAAGTAGCAACCTTCATGGTGATGATGATTTTTTTGGTTGGATACGGTAGATAGATAGATCGAAGAGGGTGTTAGTCGACAGGGGGGGCTATCTAACGAGCTTGGAGAGAAGAGTAGTTGCTGTTGAGCTTCTTCCGATAAACTTTTTATGAGAGCAAACTGTTGAGTAGCCAATTTGGACGTCAAAATGAAGCTTGCTGAGAGATGGTTGCGAAAAGGATGGCGAGTGCGGGAGTCGGTTTTTCACGTTTAGCGCGGGAGTCGATGACCCCGAGAAAGTCACTTCGGAGGTGAGGTGACCATGGAGTTAAGATTCCTTGTACAGTGTAAAAGGACAGTCTCGAGTGACCATGGGCAGGCCCAAACGAACCTTGTGCAGCAGATCGTTGCTTTAATATTTATAGAAGGGATGGTGAGCGCGGGAGTCGATTTTTCACGACCAGCGCGGGAGTCGATGACCCAGGAGAGCTACTAGTATGAGTGAGGTGACATAGAGAGATGATATTCGAGTGACTTATAACAGTGCCAACGTACGACTGTACGGCTCTCGAAGACCTTTAGATTAGGTGCGCTGTGCAATCTACTGTAGGTACCGTACCGGTACCGTACTGTAGCCCATCAACCACGGACACATCTGGATCGAAAGACCAGCAAGCAGACTTTGCTTTGGAAGTACAATGACATTGTGTACCTAGTAGGCACCAATGCCGGTCTTCGGTCCTCGATTTAGGCATTGTGAGGTTCTCGATTTGCAAGGAAAAAATGCTGCCTAGTAGTATTGTACAGTATCTAGGAACCCCAACCGAGAAAAGATTGCCTTGCGGCACTTTTGCTTGGGTTGTTGATCTTGGGTTCGTGTTACGACAGTATTTCGTCTCCTGGAGACGATTTGCTTTAGGGGTAATGGTACCGATGGGGGCAGAGGTTTGAATTATACCCGGCGCGCATTACTTAGAAGGCCCTGTAGAAGTCTACGTATTTGACTAGTATTGTAATGACGGGATACAGTCAACGCATGTACATGCACATGAAAGTCGCCTTGCGTTCTTCACATTTTAAAAGTTGGCTCCTGATTTTTCGGGGTCGCCTGTGATTTGATTGGACGCTTGATCTTTTTTCAATGACTGACATTGAATGACGTACGAGGTGCAATGCGAATCTCAGAAAGGTAGTTGTAGTAATAAAAGTTTTTATAAATAGATTAATTTACCCTAAATCCCTACCGTTTATACTAATAACAAGAACCCGTCTTATCGCTGGAACATTTCATAGTATTGATCTTCTCCTAGAACAGAAAGCCCAATAGTAACCTTAAATCTTGCAAGCATGGTCATTCTCTCTCCTTGAGATGCCTTTAACTCAGCTATCTTCGAAGATTTTTGCGGGAAGAACAAACTGCTGATGATTCCGTGCTGATGGATGCAGTACTATTTTCAGGACGATCTTCAAATGGCAATCAAGCAGGACACTGGTTCCTGTTAAAGCAATTCGGTTTTAAAGCACTTCTTTTCAAATGTGGAGAAGACTCGTTTAAACCCGGTTCGGACTCACGAAAACGTGTTGATCCTGGTTTGAAGTTATATAAGGGTGTCCTGTAATGTTTACAGAGAACACAATGTTCCGAATGGAGAAGCCAATGGATCTCGGCTTTTTGTGAGAAAGGTGAATGTGAGGATGGTTGCACCCCCATGGTTATTCAACTCGAAAACGGCTGCAAGATTCGGCTTTTTTCTCGGTCAAGTCAAATCTATCCTTGTGGAACATGAAATGGAGACTATTATCCACGTACTTTTTATGTAACGGAGCAAGACTACACTTTCACTACCAGATGGTTTTATGACGGAGAAGTTTTACACACCAAGATGAAGGGTAAGAGTTTCCGATTATCAGCAATTCTGCGACAACTGGACACAAATTACAGGGATATACTGCAGTGTGGTTTTTGGTACATTCATGGCGATACTGTCAAAACTGGGCTTAAGTGGTGTTATCAAGGGTGCGAACCATGAGTGGTTTTGTTCTTATTTGAAGAAGCTGGATTGGGATCCAAAGAACTTTGCCATGCCACAA